GACTAGCTCGTTAATCAAAGATGGTTAAGTTTCCTAACCATAGACATGTGTTGTCATTTGATGAATGAGATCACATCATTAGGAGAATGATGTGATGGACAAGACCCATACTTTATCTTAGCATAATGACCGTTAAGTTTTATTACTATTGCTTTCTTCATGACTTATACATATTCCTCTGACTATGAGATTATGCAACTCCCGAATATCGGAGGAACGCTTTGTGTGCTATCAAACGTTACAATGTAACTGGGTGATTATAAATATGCTCTACAGATGTCTCCAAAGGTGTTTGTTGACTTGACATAGATCGAGATTAGAATTTGACATTCAGTGTATCGAAGAGGTATCTCTGGGCCCTCTCGGTAATGCACATCACTATAAGCCTTGCAAGTAATATGACTAACGAGTTAGTTGTGGGATGATGCATTACGGAACGAGTAAAGAGGCTTGCCGGTAACGAGATTAACTAGGTATGATGATACCGACGATTGAATCTCATGCAAATAACATACCGATGACAAAGGGAATAACGTATGTTGTTATGCGGTTTGACCAATGTTTTAAATAGTGAGCTATGGAAAATAGCGACAAGCCTCCAAATCAGCTATAGCGGAGCTATAGCGGGCTAAAGCGGGCTATTTGTGAAGGCGGCCATTTAACGGCACCCTGCTGAAAATGCTATAGCGGGCTACAGCGGAGTTATAGTCGGCTATTTAAAACTATATATGAGTTTGACCGATAAAGATCTTCGTAGAATATGTAGGAGCCAATATGAGCATCCAGGTTCCGCTATTGGTTATTTACCGGAGATGTGTCTCGGTCATGTCTACATAGTTCTCGAACCCGTAGGGTCCGCACGCTTAACGTTTGATGACGATTTGTATTATGAGTTATGTGATTCGATGATCCGAAGTTTGTTCGGAGTCCCGGATGAGATCACGGACATGACGAGGAGTCTCGAAACGGTCGAGAGGTAAAGATTCATATGTTGGAAGGTTGCATTTGGACATCGGAATGGTTCGGGCATTTTTTCGGAGTACCGGGAGGTTACCCCCCGGGGAAGTTAATGGGCCTTAGTGGGCTTTAGTGGAGAGAGGGAAGAAAGACCACGAAGTGGCGCGCGCCTCCCCCCCTGGCCAAACTGAATTGGACAAGGGGTCGGGGCGCGGCCCCCTCCTTCCTTCTCCTTCTCCGCTCCAAGTAGGATCCCCCCTTGGCGCGCTCAACCTTGCTGGCCTCCTCTCTCCCTCCCTCCTTTATATACGTGGTCAGGGGGCACCCCAATATCACAGCAGACAATCTCTTAGCCGTGTGCGGTGCCCCCCCTCCAGAGTTCAACACCTCGGTCATATCGTCGTAGTGCTTAGGCGAAGCCCTGCGCCGGTAACATCATCATCACCGTTGCCACGTCGTCGTGCTGATGGAACTCTCCCTCGTCCTCAACTGGAGCCAGAGCTCGAGGGATGTCATCGTGCTGAACGTGTGCTGAACACGGAGGTGCCGTACGTTTGGTACTTGGATCTGTTGGATCGTGAAGATGTTCTACTACATCAACCGCGTTACTAAACGCTTCCGCTTTCGGTCTACGAGGGTATGTGAACACACTCTCCCCTCTCGTTGCCATGCATCTTCTAGATAGATCTTGCGTGATCGTAAGAATTTTTTTAAATTACTACGTTCTCTAACATAACCAACAACGTCCAAGGCACTAATCAAGATCTGTTATATGCTCCTCTTGCATGTCGACAACCGGGAAATTAAGGATACCGCGGGTACTATGAACTGCAAAGATTGAAGAGACAAATGGAGTATCTGTGATTCGACTGCCTCGATCCACAAATCAAGGGAGTCAGCAAATACTAAAGGGCTTCGACTTTGTTACTATGCTCGGGCCGTTAGATCCAGACTTTGTTACTATGCTTGGAGGTCCACTCCACTTCCTCCCGACGGCACGGTTGCAGCACAACGGTGGCGGGAGGCGCGGTGCAACACGGCGGACCTACCCAATCTAGCGGTTCCTCAAACAATGGCCGAGAGGCAGGGGTCTAAAAGATAGACAGAATGTGTTAAGTGTGTTGTGGGATCCATTGTATCTATTGTGTGCGAATACACAAAAACAAAAAAATCATTTGGCCACTGTAGATACATTGCCTACGGTACAAGATTGATTTCTACGGACGCATCACACAATGGATCCAACGCATTTGTGGTACCGGTTTGCATTTGTGGTACCCGGTAGAAACCGGTACCGCTAGTTTCTCATTTCGCAGCACGGAGATGGGGGAGAGGAGGGGGATGGTGATTGGGGAGGGATGTTGTATCTCTGTGCAACTCTGGCGCACGGCTTAAATAGCCGCGACGAGGACCAGGCGAAGGGCGGGCCATGCCGACAAGTCGCGTCGGTAGCGCCGCCCTCCCCCCCTTCGGTCACATTGCGGCATCAATGCCGGCCTTCGCGTGCTATGGGCCGACATGAGTGCGGCGTGGTAAGCGGCGCGTGCGTCGGAAGGAAAGTGCAGGAGGGGCGGTTGACGGGTTTTTGGTGGGCCAGGGCGGTCAGAAGCGGGCTTAGGAGCGGTCCGGACTCCCGCAAACCTTCCCCGATTTTGTCTTCGGTTTGCGGGAGAACTCGCGTCCGGACCGCTCCGTGGATCGATATAGATCGGCGTTAGATGGCTTCTACGGTCCGGACAGCTCGATCAGGATGATTGCGGGAGATTTACTGGTCCGCCTTGGAGATGCCCTAACTTGTGCATTATTTTTGAAGTGTCAACAATCATCCTCAAAACAAACTGAAATTTATTATATCTAAATAGCTAGCCCTCACTACAAGGAATTTTGCCGCTTCTTCTTAAATCACATCATCCAAATGAATGTAGCCTTTTGATATACAAGATCAATCAACAATATCCATCCAATCTACACAATGGTCCTGTTTGGATCCCTAAGTTAGAGTTAATTTTAGTTAGTTGGGGCTCAAATAACCCAAAAGTATCCAAACATGGTGGGTTAGTTGGATCTAACCCATCCCAAAAAACTAGCCCACACTAGAGGAGCTTATTTGGGTTAGTTCTCCTAGGCCCACTAGAAAAAATAGTAAAAAAAGTTATCCCTCCCATTCAAACATGTTCCAAAGTAGTCAAATGATTGAGAAAGAATATTTATTGTCAATCTAACCCTACCATCCAAACAACTCTTTGGTTAGAGTTAATCTAGGGTTAGTTCAAGGTTATAATCTAACTCTAACCTCTAAGGCCAACTCCACCGCGCGACCCTATCCTGTCCGGCCCCATCCGTTTGGGGTAAAACGGACAAAGGAGGTGGCCCAGCGCGTGACGGCCCGGACCCATCTTGTCCGTTTTGTGTCGGGGCCGTGTGGCAGGCGGCCACCTAGCTCCCACCCGCCCACATCAATGCGCACGAGCGGGCGGCCCTACCTGTCATCCGCACGTCGAACGGTCACCGTCCTTCTTTAAATGGGAAGCGTGGACGGGTCGTCGTCCACACTGCCCCACGCCACCCTGCGGCCTCCTTGAAACTCGACAGCGTGTCATGGACGACTCCATTTACACGCATGACAACGGAGGAGGAGGCCCGTCTCCTGCAGCGTGTCATGGACGACTCCGTGTACATGCACGACGAGCGGCAGTGGGACAGCCTGGAGGAGGCCATGGCCCTCTCTGCCGCCGGGGACGTCGCCTTCCCGGAGCTGCAGATGGTGGCCGTGGAGGAGGAGAGGAGGGAGGACCCGCCGGCCGCGTTCCAGCAGCTGCTGGGCCAGGGGTGGGGCTGGTCCTGCACTGTTCCGGAGATGGCCGCCGGCGTGGGCGTGAACTGGTGCCCCACTCCGCCGCGGTCACCGGAGCGGGAGGCGTCGCCACAGGAGGAGGTGGTGCAGGCACCTCCGACCGTCCAGCCCGCCCCCGTCCACCACGCACCTCCGGCCCACCTCTGGATGCTGCCGGCCTACGTCGACCTCGTCAGCGATGACGACGACACCGGCGGTCAGTGAAGACGACGACAGCCACGGCACCAACGGGCGCGGCAGGAGCGCGTGGGAGGCGTTTATATATTTTGTTTTATATGTTAATTATGAAACTGGGCCTTTTAAGTGGCCGACCCCTATATATGTTTTATTTTTTAAAATGCGTTTATTTATTTATTTTAGTTATTTTTGTATTTTTTTATTCATGTCCACCCCGGACATAATTTAGGGTGCGGCCGCGCGGTGCGCGCACGCATGACCCATCTGACAAATCCGGACACGGACGAATCCATCGACGCCTCAAAGGGACAAAATCCGGCCAATCCGGACGTCTGTTTGGGGTCGTGCGGTGGAGTTGGCCTAAGTGAGTTAAAGTATTCAAACAGGGCCAATGTGAGCTGCTGTACCCACCATATGTAGTAACTGATGCACGCATGCAGTAACTGCTGCTTTATGAGTATTTTTTTTGCGGGTGAGCTTTATGAGTATTTTAATCAACAAAAGGAAATTGACCCATCCATGCAGCTCATAGCTTCATCCATGCGTATTATCTTTTGTTTTCGTCCAACTTTGAACTTAAAGATTAAGATATCTATTCATTTATAAAATACCGATAAACAAATTATCTTGATACTGATAATTAAACAAATAGTAGATGATTATTAATTCAGTGCAATTTTTATTTAATATAAAATACCGCCACAACTTGCGGCGCATCGTCTAGTGTATCCAGTGAAAGCACTCCAAAAAGTAAGAAAAAGAACACTAACAAATAGTGGTGTGAGGAGCATCTTATCATACTCTGTTCGGTGTGAGTGCAAGCGTTAGGTGTGAGTGGCCATGCATGCCTGTTATATCGCACTCACACCTATAGTCACTCAGCATATGATTCATTGTTCATGGTGGGAAAGATCAAAAGTCAATCACGCGGCGAGGCCCCTCTCTCCCACTCCTATAAGTATGGAAACACACAATCATCTACAGGCATGCAGCAGCTAGGTCCAGCAGATCAATGGATCAGCTCCTCGTGCTCCTCGCGTTTCTCCTGTGCGGCCTCCTCGCCGTCTTCCGGCGCGGCCGCGCTCCTCCTCCTCCACCCTCACTTGCCATGCACAAGATCAGCGACCCAGCTGTCGCCCACCGCGCGCTCGTCGAGAACGCAGACGCCTTCTCGAATCGCCCGCCCGCGCGCCTGCACGTGGCCCAGGCCGCCCGGCGACGCGGCCAGCGGAACGAGAACCTCAACACCATGGCACACGGACCGCACTGGCGCGCCCTCCGGTGCAACCTCACCGCCGAGACCCTCCATCCGTCTCGCCTGGCCGGCCTAGCGCCGCTGCAGCGGGAGGCCGTCCAGGGCCTCATCGCCGCGCTGTCGTCCGCCCCCCGGGGAAGCCGGGAGGAGGTGACGGAGGTGCACCAGCACCTCTATGGCGCCGTGTTCTCGGTCGTCGCGCGCCTGTGCTTCGGTGACGTCGTCGACGAGGACCACGTGCGCGCTATGCGCCACGACATACAACGCTTCCAGCTCGCCATTGGGCTGGTCAAGCCCTTCACGGCCACGGGCTCCGTGATGGAGAAGCTCGTGGAGTGGAGATGGCTGCGCAGGCTCTTCGCCATCGATGTCCGGCTCAAGGAGCTATTCCTCCCTCCCATCGAGGCATGGAGGCGGGCGGTCCGGTCTCCTCGACCACGTGACGACAACGGCCGTCGTCCGTACGTCGAGTCACTCATCGATCTCCGCGTCCCCAACGAGGACGGCGGCCGGCGCGCTCTTAGGGACGAGGAGATGGTGCGGCTGATCTCGGAGTTCCTTGGCGCCGGCACGGGGACGGTGGTGGCAAGCCTCGAATGGGCCCTCGCCCACCTTGTCGACAAGCCGGAGGTGCAGGAGAAGCTACACTGCGAGGTCAACGACGGCGAGGTTTCCCGTGTGGGTGCAGGCATGCCTTACCTGCATGCCATCGTGCTGGAGACCCTTCGCATGCACCCACCGTTGCCGGTCATCCCGCGCCATGTCCATGCCAATGCCGTCGGAGTGCTGGCCGGAGGAATGGCCGTGCCGCTGCCGGCCGGCGACTTTTACGTGAATTTCTCTGCGGGGGACATTGGCAGGGACAGCAAGATATGGAAGGATCCCGACGAGTTCCTGCCGGAGCGGTTCCTTACCGGCGGCGACGGGGAGGGCATTGGCCCGTTGCCGGCGCCCAAGCAGATCAGGATGATGCCATTTGGCGCAGGGCATAGGTTCTGCCCTGGCGTGGGGATGGCGATGGTGAACATGAAGTGCTTCTTGGCGGCACTCGTCTGCGAGTTCGAGTGGGCGCCGCCGACTGGCATTGCCGCTGTTGACCTCACGGAGCTGGATTCCTTCTTCAAGGTGATGAAGAAGCCGCTTTCCGCACGTGTCACGCGACGCACTAAATCCATCTAAAGATCTCGTGAATCTACACGATATCTTTAGAATAAAATTGTTGTGTTTCTACCATTGTTGCAGCCGAGAGTAGGGGTGGATTCTTGAGCTGCTCAGCTCGTTAAACTCGTGCTCTTTAAGGCTTGACTAGTTAAACTCATTAAGCTTAACAAGCACAAAATCCTTCTCAGCTTTGTTCATTTGAAACTTGTTAAGCACGTGAGCACTTGCTAACAGACTACAATGTGCTACGGCGTACTGGATAAGAATGTATGTGTTTTTTACGAAGAAGAAGATGGTGACTACATAAGAAGGTGCACTAATTTGCTATCTTCTATGAACTAGGTTGGATCAATTAGATTGAATAGATCAACTTAGATGCTACAAAAATGTTGTCATATAAGACAAAAATATGTATTGCGTTGTACTAACGAGCTGCTCGTGAAACTCGTTAGCTCGTTCGTTAAGCTCATTAAAATTAATGAGCTAAAATCATTGTTCATTAAAAAGCAAGCTACAAAGTTAATGGGCAAATTTTTATAGGCCTAGTATGTATATTCAAAGAAACGTTGTTTTGCTGGGCCGGTGGGCGTTGGCATCCGCGACGCGAGCCAGCCACCAGGCCGCTGCTCTCGAGTCGGGGATGGGAATTAGATTAGATCGATCGCAAAACAACCAGCGTTACAGCGGTCCACGATCACATCTCAGACGGCCGTCGCTATCCGACTTCGGCTACTGGCTGCTGCCTAGTGCGTACAGGATGATCGATCGGCGATTCAACGATAATCCTCAGGCCACTCCTCCAAAGAAAACGGGATCGTCGGATCGATTGACGACCGTGACAGTTTCATCCTCCGGGTGCTCTCGCTGTCTCACGGCTTCCATCCTCCGAGTGCTTCACGGCTTCAAAACAGGTAGCATGCCGCTGGCGAGTTCTCATTTCTAACTAACTTCGGTTCCTACTCCTAATTACAAATTTTCTAGTTAACTTTTGATAGGGATCGTTAGAGATCGCTTCTTGCCTTGCTGGTTGAAGATCACAGTATAACAGTTTAACCGGAGAGAATAGGAGACTAGGTGAGTCAGACGGTTTGTTTAATTGTCAAACATTGACGTATAATCTCTAATTAATATCTGTTGCCATATCACTTAGATTTTATTCTATTCATCTTTTGTATCTTGTGTTTCAATAGTTTAGATTTGAGTCATCATTGGGAAACACCAGATGCCTACAAGCACAAAAGAAAAGAAAGAGAACGAAATTTAATTAATAAATCTTATAAAGGTGGTATGGAGTATGGACAAGTTTGTTAGAAAAGAAGCATCACAAGTGGCATCCGGTATTAGTTTGTTAATCCTTCTACCTTGCACTTACAATTGTTCTATATAATTTTTTCCGTGATATATAAATTATAATTGCTCGTTAATTCATTTTTGCTAGGGAGATAGGGCCACACTTTTTAGTTTCGCACTGGGCCCCGGAGAGATAAATGTCATGCATATCAGGCAAGACAAGCGAGGGGAAGAGGAGGTGAGGTGAGTGTGGTGGTGGGAAGGTGCAAGCGTGGAATAGGATATCAATTACAAGCCTCTACTACCTAGATAAATGTAAGGTTTCATCTTCTGTCAAGTTTTCTCATGCCCTTCCTTCGTCCGCACTCCATCCATATGTCACCCCCACCCTTCCACTGGTTCTTCATCCCTCACGATTTTTCTTTGGTTAATAGTTTTCATCTGGTCGGCCAAATCAAATCAATATTTAGTCACACAATATATTCAAATTCGATAATCAATTTCTTTTTGGGTAATAAATATTGGGAACACAATAAAATCATTAAAAATCAATCATGATCGGTAATTATTTGATAACATAATAAATTCACGGGAAGGAATCAATCACAGCTGGGAAGGAACAAATTATCACAAAAGGTGAGTAGTTATATGTCGTCCTACTCCCATGAGGGAAGACTGGCATGGAGTAGTGCTCGACGGCGCACCTGAACGAAAGGGCTTGTGGGGGCGATTGCCTAGTTCTGGTGTTGATTACTGACCGTATGATTTCTAGGTGTTGGTTATTAATTGTAGCATGCTAATTCCACTAATTCTTATGGAGAATAGGGAGATGTGTATCCACTGATAGTAATTGCATTGTACCGCTAGATCTGTATGTTGCTCCTGAAAATGTTTTACTTTTTGTTCCGTGTTTCGTATGTTATATAACATACACAAACGTAAAATTAACATTTGGTTGTTTATTTTGTGTGTTATTTTTGCATTATGGCCATAATTTGATTATACCTCAACCCAATCCATGCAATACAAGAGAGAGAGAGAGAGAGAGAGAGAGAGAGAGAGAGAGAGAGAGAGAGAGAGAGAGAGAGAGAGCTCTACGTGCAATAAAAAATTGCAGACATGGCAAGCCAAGCCAAGGCACGATGTTCAAATATAACATAATTGCATGATTACATGTTTGAAATTTAAAGTGTGGGTATACTAAGACGGGGTGGAAGGCTTGTGAGGCAGAGATAGTGGGTGGAGAAAGAAGAAGAAGTGTGAATTATAAAGCTAGAATCATACACTAGTCACAGTTGGCGAAACCACTAAAATACATACACCCCCCTTGAACGCATATACACTCATCTAGTTAATCACTAAAAAGGGAATGTGTGAGATTGCATTGAACATATTTTATAGTCGCCGGAAATACCGACAAAGGAAAAAAACAACCAAAAGAAATGTTTCCCAGCCACATGGCAAAATAGCTAATCACAGATTAGAAAGAAACATATGGTATCATAATCCACTATCATACCATGTTATGACATTCTCAAATCACATGGTAGGTGTGGTCAGCTTTTTCAAGTTGATGAGTATGAACCATGCTACATATACGCCACTTCTGGAACGATTTTTGCACAACAGTTCTGATCAGACCATCCATGAATAAACGGAAGCACAGCAGGACCATTAGATTAACTAGCGTACATAATGTTGAAATACACTGTAATAGGATAGGACTAGAGGTTTTAACTCCTGGAAACCTATTCTATCTCTTCTTCTGTTTCTTCCTCCCGTTACCGACCTTCTCTGTAAACTCTCGATCAAACTCTTGATCGATCTTATTGTAAGCCACTGCATCACTTGTATAAATAAAACTGCGGCCCAAAAAAAGAGTTCTATGCTTCCCAAACTATTTTACATGGTAATCAGAGCATCTTCTTCCCAGAGATCAAAAGAGGATCGCATCTAGTTCACTCCCATCGTAAAATTCCAAACCCCATTGCCACTTTCGCCATGACCTCCGCCTCCACCCAATCCAGCACCATGAGTGCCCTCACCACATCTGTTGCATCAACCTCCACCTTCGCCCCTTCCTCCTCCAGCTCGTCATATCCCATGTCCATCGGACCTCCACCCCAGGAGAAGCTCACGAGGGAAAACTACCTCATGTGGAAGGCTATTGTGCTGCCCCAAATCAAGGGCGCGCAGATGGGCCACCACCTTGATCCGGAGAGCCAAGCGCCGCCGGAGACACTCACCATCACCAATGATGGGAAAGAGGAGCAGATTGTGAACCTCTCCCACGTCCTCTAGTATGCACAACAGTAGCAAGTCCAAGGTTTTCTGATGGGTTCCTTGTCTCGCGAGATCCTTGCGCATGTGGTCACCCTTCAGACGTCGGCAAAGGTATGGGCAGCAATCCATGCCATGTTTGCTGCCCAAAATCAAGCTCAAGCCATAAACACAAGGATTGAGCTCACCAATCTGAAAAAAGGAAACTTGACGATGTCAGAGTACCTAGCCAAGATCAAATCGCTGTCAGATGAGATCGCGTGCACTGGAGCGGTGATGCAAAGTGGCGAAATCATTTCATAGGTTCTGGCCGGCCTCGACCTCGACTACAACCCGGTCGTGTCGGCCCTTGCTGCACGAGTGGAGCCTGTCACCGTCCAAGAGCTGTACACACAGCTGTTAAGCTTTGATGCACGCGTCAATCTTCTTCACGGAACCAACATACGGCAGTCTTCCACCAACACCACCTCGCGAGGTCATGGGGCTGCTCGTGAGCGCGACCGCGGGAACAGCAATGGCGGGCGTGGCCTTGGCAATGGCCAAGGGGCGCGTCCAAACGGAGGAGGCTACAACAACAATTCTTCCTCTTCTCATTTTGGAGGGGTGCTACCTCTTGAGCACTGCATTTGTTTTCCCCGAAGAGGAAGGGATGATGCAGCAAAGTAGTGTAAGTATTTCCCTCAGTTTTTGAGAACCAAGGTATCAATCCAGTAGGAGGCTACACGCGAGTCCCTCACACCCGCACAAAACAAATAAATCCTCGCAACCAACGCAAATAGAGGTTGTCAATCCCTATAGGGCCACTTACGAGAGTGAGATCTGATAGATATGATAAGATAATATTTTCGGTATTTTTATGATAAAAGATGCAAAGTGAAATAAAGGCAAAATAAATAGCAAAGGAAATAACTAAGTAGTAGGAGATCAATATGATAAAGATAGACCCGGGGGCCATAGGTTTCACTAGTGGCTTCTCTCGAGAGCATAAGTATTCTACGGTGGGTGAACAAATTATTGTTGAGCAATTGACAGAATTGAGCATGGTTATGAGAATATCTAGGTATGATCATGTATATAGGCATCACGTCCGATACAAGTAGACCGACTCCTGCCTGCATCTACTACTATTACTCCACTCATCGACCGCTATCCAGCATGCATCTAGAGTATTAAGTTAAAAACAGAGTAATACCTTAAGCAAGATGATATGATGTAGAGGGATAGACTCATGCAATATGAAGAAAACCCCATCTTGTTATCCTCGATGGCAACAATACAACACGTGCCTTGCTGCCCTTACTGTCACCGGGAAAGGACACCGCAAGATTGAACCCAAAGCTAAGCACTTCTCCAATTGCAAGGAAGATCAATCTAGTAGGCCAAACCAAACTGATAATTCGAAGAGACTTGCAAAGATAACCAATCATACATAAAAGAATTCAGAGAAGATTCAAATATTATTCATAGATAGACTTGATCATAAACCCACAATTCATCGGTCTCAACAAACACACCGCAAAAAGAAGATTACATCGAATAGCTCTCCACAAGAGAGGGGGAGAACGTTGTATTGAGATCCAAAAAGATAGAATAAGCCATCTAGCTACTAACTATGGACCCGTAGGTCTGAGGTAAACGACTCACACTTCATCGGAGAGGCTATGGTGTTGACGTAGAAGCCCTCCGTGATCGATGCCCCCTCCGGCGGAGCTTCGGAACAGGCCCCAAGATGGGATCTCGCGGATACAGAAAGTTACGGCGGTGGAATTAGGGTTTTGGCTCCGTATCTGGTCATTTTGGGGTACGTAGATATATATAGGAGGAAGGAGTACGTCGGTGGAGCAGTAGGGGGCCCACGAGGGTGGAGGGTGCGCCCCCTACCTCGTGGCCTCCTGTTTTATTTCTTGGCGTAGGGTCCAAGTCTCCCGGATCATAATCTTCCTAGAAATCACGTTCCCGAAGGTTTCATTCCGTTTGGACTCCGTTTGATATTCCTTTTCTTCGAAACCCTAAAACAGGCAAAAAACAGCAATTCTGGGCTGGGCCTCCAGTTAATAGGTTAGTCCCAAAAATAATATAAAAGTGGATAATAAAGCCCAATAATGTCCAAAACAGTAGATAATACAGCATGGAGCAATCAAAAATTATAGATACGTTGGAGACGTATCAAGCATCCCCAAGCTTAATCCTGCTCGTCCTCGAGTAGGTAAATGATAAATACAGAATTTTTGATGCGGAGTGCTACTTGGCATAATTTTAATGTAATTCTTCTTAATTGTCGTATGAATATTCAGATCCGAAAGATTCAAGACAAAAGTTCATATTGACATAAAAATAATAATACTTCAAGCATACTAACAAAGCAATTATGTCTTCTCAAAATAACATGGCTAAAGAAAGTTATCCCTACAAAATCATATAGTCTGGCTATGCTCTATCTGCACCACAGAATATATTTAAATCATGCACAACCCCGATGACAAGCCAAGCAATTGTTTCATACTTTTGACATTCTCAAAACTTTTTCAATCTTCACGCAATACATGAGCATGAGCCATGGATATAGCACTATAGGTGGAATAGAGTGGTGGTTGTGGAGAGGACAAAAAGGGAGAAGATAGTCTCACACCAACTAGGCGTATCAACGGGCTATGGAGATGCCCATCAATAGATATCAATGTGAGTGAGTAGGGATTGCCATGCAACGGATGCACTAGAGCTATAAGTATATGAAAGCTCAAAAAGAAACTAAGTGGGTGTGCATCCAACTTGCTTGCTCATGAAGTCCTAGGGCATTTTGAGGAAGCCCATCATTGGAATATACAAGCCAAATTCTATAATGAAATATTCCCACTAGTATATGAAAGTGATAACATGAGAGACTCTCTACTATGAAGATCATGGTGCTACTTTGAAGCACAAATGTGGTAAAAGGATAGTAACATTGTCCCTTCTCTCTTTTTCTCTCATTTTCTTATTTTTTTATTTGGGCCTTTTCTCTTTTTTATGGCCTCTTTTTGTTTCGTCCGGAGTCTCATCCCGACTTGTGGGGGAATCATAGTCTCCATCATCCTCTCCTCACTGGGACAATGCTCTAATAATGATGATCATCACACTTTTATTCTTCTTACAACTCAAAAATTACAACTCGATACTTAGAACAAAATATGACTCTATATGAATGCCTCCGGCGGTGTACCAGGATATGCAATGATACATGAGTGACATGTATGAAATAATTATGAATGGTGGCTTTGCCACAAATACGATGTCAACTACATGATCATGCTAAGCAATATGAAAATGATGGAGTGTGTCATAATAAACGGAACGGTGGAAAGTTGCATGGCAATATATCTCAGAATGGCTATGGAAATGCCATAATAGGTAGGTATAGTGGCTGTTTTGAGGAAGGTATATGGTGGGTGTATGATACCGGCGAAAGGTGCGCGGTATTAGAGAGGCTAGCAAAGGTGGAAGGGTGAGAAAAGCGTGTATAATCCATGGACTCAACATTAGTCATAAAGAACTCATATACTTATTGCAAAAATCTACAAGTTATCAAAGCAAAGTATTACGCGCATGCTCCTAGGTGGATAGATTGACAGGAAAAGACCATCGCTCGTCCCCGACCGCCACTCATAAGGAAGGCAATCAAAAAATAAATCATGCTCCGACTTCATCACATAACGGTTCACAATACGTGCATGCTACGGGAATCACAAGCTTCAACACAAGTATTTCTCAAATTCACAACTACTCAACTAGCACAACTTTAATATCACCATCTTTATATCTCAAAACAATTATCAAGTATCAAATTTATCATAGTATTTAACACACTCATAAGAAAGTTTTTATTATTAATCTTGTATACCAAGCATATTAGGATTTTAAGCAAATTACCATGCTATTAAGACTCTCAAAATAATCTAAGTGAAGCATCAGAGATCAACAGTTTCTATAAAACAAATCCACCACCGTGCTTTAAAAGATATAAGTGAAGTACTAGAGCAAAATTATATAACTCAAAAGATATAAGCGAAGCACTTAGAGTATTCTAACAAATTCTAAATCATGTATGGCTCTCTCAAAAGGTGTGTACAGCAAGGATGTTGTGGTAAACTAACAAGCAAAGTCTCAAATAATACAAGACGCTCCAAGCAAAACACATATCATGTGGCGCATAAAAATATAGCTCCAAGTAAAGTTACCGATAGAAGTAGACGAAAGAGGGGATGCCTTCTGGGGCATCCCCAAGCTTAGGCTTTTAGGTGTCCTTAGATTATCTTGGGGGTGCCATGGGCATCCCCAAGCTTAGGCTCTTGCCACTCCTTGTTCCATAATCCATCAAATCTTTACCCAAAACTGGAAAACTTCACAACACAAAACTTAAAGTAGAAAATCTCGTGAGCTCCATTAGCGAAAGAAAATAAAAGACCACTTCAAGGTACTGTAATGAACTCATTCTTTATTTGCATTGGTATTATACCTACTGTATTCCAACTTCTCTATGGTTTATAAACTATTTTACTAGCCATAGATTCATCAAAATAAGCAAACAACACATGAAAGACAGAATCTGTCTAAAACAGAACAGTCTGTAGTAATCTGTAGCTAGCGCAATATTTGGAACCCCAAAAATTCTAAAATAAATTTCTGGACGTGAGGAATTTATCTATTAATCATCTTCAAAAATAATTAACTAAATAGCACTTTCCAAATAAAAATGGCAGTAGTTCTCGTGAGCGCTAAAGTTTCTGTTTTTTACAGCAAGTTCAACAAGACTTTCCCCAAGTCTTCCCAACGGTTCTACTTGGCACAAACACTAATTAAACACACAAAAAACACAACCAAAACAGAGGCTAGATAAATTATTTATTACTAAACAGGAGCAAAAAGCAAGGAATAAAAATAAAATTGGGTTGCCTCCCAACAAGCGCTATCGTTTAACGCCCCTAGCTAGGCATAACAAGCAAGAATAGATCTAGGTATTGCCATCTTTGGTAGGCAATCCATAAGTGGCTCTCATAATAGATTCATAAGGTAATTTAATTTTCTTTCTAGGAAAGTGTTCCATGCCTTTCCTTAAGGGAAATTGGAATCTAATATTTCCTTCCTTCATATCAATAATTGCACCAATCGTTCTAAGGAAAGGTCTACCAAGAA